TGGGCAGATCTACATTGACCACTTATCCCTGGGCCAATCTGGAGTTGTGAATGAAAATAGACCAACATGGTTGAATGTCTTTTAAAATATAAGTTGGATGTGTCTTTAAAAGACACGATCGTATGACATCTCTATTACAATACTTTTGTGTGTGTGTTTGTGGCAATTGTACACATTAGGCCTGGGTAACAACGGAAAAATTTGTTTCTAAAATCGATTCGTTTTTTGGGGGGTTTTTGCGTTTCGATATTTAAAAGAATTCCGAAATTTTTCTTTTAAAAAGTTCGATATTTACGAAATTTCATAAATGTTTAAAAAATTACGAAACATTAACGAAACAAATACGAAACAATAACGAATCGATTCGTTAATGGCGGACGCGACCGCGCAATACGCTAAAAAACCTCCAAATGGGACAGGGGGAACTTCTGAAGCTTCCCTCTCCCTCTGTTGTTGACTGTTGGTGTGATATTATAATTTTTTTTCACTAATTAAACAAAAAACAACTATAAAACTTGCCTCAGACATGCGGAAATAATAACGAAACGACCTCAAACCATAACGAAACGAATACATAACGAATCCGAAGCATTTACGAAACGAATTAAAAAATTCGTTTCGTTTTTAAGTTGCTCCAGAATGGTTCGTTATCGCTTCGTTATAAAAAAAAATAGCGAATTTTTAACGAATTACGAATTAACGAAACGAAACCGCCCAGCCCTAGTACACATGTATGGGAAGCAATTGGTGAACCTAGGGCTTTTCTACACTGGCCCTATACCCAGTTGATCCTGGATGGCCAAATGACATCCAGGGACATCCAATCCTTAACACAGAGTAAACCAGGCTTATCCGGTTGAAACCTATGTAAAGTGGACTTTAAACCTTTACAATGGGATCTGCATACAAACTAAGCAGATAGGTTGATAAAATGCAAGCTTTACTGACACTATTACGTATATTTTTCTCCATATTCTCTCCTTACAGTGATTTCTTGTCCTGGGTCTAAGTTAATCATGAGGACGGTTAAATGTGGATCACATATTTCTTTTAATGCAATTCATAATTTTTCACGATCAGACTTTACAATAATCTATAACGCACAAACTGATTTTCTTTCTAACTCCTTTGTAGTACTTCACTATCCAATGTACACCAGTAATATGATCCCTGTTGCTCAGTTTGGGCGTCTTGATATTTCTCACTCAATATAACTTTTCTTGCATAGGAGATTATTGCAATGGACTGATGAGCATTTTTAATCTGAGGGTCATTGTTTTATTTTCCTTTTTTGTTGTTGTTGGTTTCTGTCTCTTGTTTCAAACAATTCCATCAGTCTGCCTTCTATCCCTGTGCCTGGTGATTTATTTTTCGGAAGTGCTTTGAGAGCAGCACCTGCTTCCCTTTTTAAAGCTGTGGCTTCATTGACTAAAAGTTCTTTCTTGAAGGAATCTATTATTGTGTTACAATTCTTCAATATACTGCTCATATCATTGTTTAATTTTTCTCTTGACCATGCAGTGTGTTCCCCCATTGATCATATAACCATTGATCATCTCCGACTATGAACCCGCACACTCTCTTCGTTCATCCGGAGAGGCCCTGCTCACAATCCCACCTGCATCGCAAGTGCGGCTGGTGGGGACGAGGGACAGGGCTTTCTCTGTGGTAGCCCCCTGATTCTGGAACTCCCTCCCCAAGGACATCAGACAAGCCCCTACATTGGCAGTCTTTAGGAAGAGATTTTCCAGAATAGGAAAATCCCAGCAACTTGTCCCAAAAGCACTTTATTAGAGATTAAGATTGTCTGCACATTGCACCTATCCAAAAATCTTTATATATCACTCAGCACACTCAGCACTTTTTAATCTATACCCATTACATTTGCCCGGCCTAGTTTTTATTGTATCACGGTGTGTTGTTTTATTGTTCACTGTCATTGCTTTAATGTTTTTTATTTGTTTCGGTTTATATGTAATTGTTATATTGTTGTTTTATTGTGGCCTTGGCCTTTGTAAGCCGCATCGAGTCCTTCGGGAGATGCTAGTGGGGTACAAATAAAGATAATAATAATAATAATAATAATAACAACAACAACAACAACAACATCCCTTGGATTATCTTGTGGAAGGGGTCTCTTGATCAACCTTTTTGTTGTTGTCAGTTTCTTTTTCTTGAATATTATAATAGTTCCCTTTATTCTCTCTAAACACTGCAATGGTGGTGATGGTTGGGGAGGGGGGGGGGTCCTGACCTGATTTCTTTCACCGTTTATTTTGCTTCTTTCCTGTCTTTAACTCTTGTTGTAGTTTTATCCAAACACTTTTTAAATTTGATCTGGACGATTGGTGCTGCACCATACCATGTTGTTGTTTATTCATTCAGTCACTTCCAACTCTTTGTGACCTCATGGACCAGCCCACACCAGAGCTCCCTGTCTGCTGTCACCACCCCCAGCTCCTTCAGAGTCAAGCCAGTCACTTCAAAGATACCATCCATCCATCTTGCCCTTGGTCGGCTCCTCTTTCTTTTTTCCTTCCATTTTCCCCAGCATCATTGTCTTCTCTAAGCTTTCCTGTCTTCTCATGATGTGGCCAAAGTACTTCATCTTGGACTCTAATATACTTTCCTCCAATGAGCAGTCGGGCTTTATTTCCTGAAGTATAGTCTGGTTGGATCTTCTTGCGGTCCAAGGCATTCTCAGAATTTTCCTCCAACACCACAGTTCAAAAGCATCTATCTTCCTTCGCTCAGTCTTCCTTATGGTCCAGCTCTCACATCTGTAGGTCACTACTGGAAATACCATTGCTTTAACTATGCGGATCTTTGTTGCCAGTGTGATGTCTCTACTCTTCACTATTTTTATTGAGATTGGCCATTGCTCTCCTCCCAAGAAGTAAACGCCTTCTGATTTCCTGGCTGCAGTCAGCATCTGCACTGATCTTTGCATCTAGAAATACAAAGTCTGTCACTGCCTCCACATTTTCTCCATTTATTTGCCAGTTATCAATCAGTCCGGTTGCCACAATCTTGCTTTTTTTGATGGTTAGCTGCAACCCAGCTTTTGCACTTTCTTCTTTCCATTTAGTTCACAGATTCCATTTAAAGATGATACATTTTCTTTTGTATCAAGTTGCAAACATCTAATAAATGGATCCACATAAGCTATACAACTGTTACTCCAGATATATCAGTACAGCCTGCTTTGCCAACTGGCAGCATCCAAAAGAAACACAAATGAGGTCATTGTAGCCATTATCTAGGATTATTCTTGTACATGCAAGAATAAAGTCCTTGCCATTTGCTTTTCAGCTGAGTTCAAGTCAAACATGTATCAGTAGAAAATTATATAACAGTTTAAGCATTCCAATTTCTGTTAGCAAAATCAGTAATGTCCCATCATAATCATGAACTATAGCTGTTCAGTCCTTTTATTGAAATGAACAAATACACAAAATATTGAATCTGCTTTCATGGACTCTGAGCCTCAAGTTATAACTGAATTATAGCCTTTCCCCCATATACAGTTCTCCCAATAAGAGTGCAATTGAACAATTTAGCTTTTATTTGCTACTGTGCTGACTGCACTGCCATTTTTTCTTTTGAAAGCAAGATGAATCATGGAGAAATCCTGATTTTGCTGTTTACACAACAAGTATCCACTCATTATGTTCATTTTCTGTATACATGGCTAACATAATCTATCACCAAGCTTTCAGTTCTATAATTTGTGATTTATGCTTCCGGTGATATAAATGGAACAATATTCATTGTCATTTTCCAAAGGCTGAGCCCGAGTAACTGGTAAATTGAGCAGAAATAAGTAGTTTACACTGGTCAATCTCTGAGAGTACTACATTTTCAGTTTCCATAGTTTCAAGGCAGTGCGATTTGTGAATGCATGACTAGCTGTAACTTGTACTGAATTAGGATGGATATGAGGCATGCTAAGCTCTCTGTCAGAGAAATACCTTTCCAAGCCCTGCCATTTATAATACATGCAATTGTCTAAGGGATTTCTTCCCTTTATTTAAATGATACCTCTTCAAAGATTTTCCACAATCTACCTGGTTTATCATATGTCTTTTTTAATTGATGATCTCTCCATTATGAGAATCTGGCTGCTTAAGGGAACACCTTGTCTAACTTTCGGGGCTCTTTCGTGACACGCAGTTACAGCATTGTGATTCCACTTTAACTCCTATGGCAAGATTGTATGTAAGCCTAGGATTTACAGTTTAGTGAGAACTATATAGAATTCTCTGCCGGAGAGCTCTGGAGCTCACAAAACTACAGACCCCACAAATTCCATAGGATAGAACCAAGCAGGCATGTAGCCGGGGGGGGGGGGGGGCTTGAGGGGCTTCAGCCCCCCCCCCGAAATTCTCATGGTGGTTCGCGAAAAGGCCTTACTGGTACATTATTTAAACTGTTATGTTTATTCATATCATGATCTGATCACCATACTCAATATATCCCATATGCATGGGGGTATTGGGGTAACGATACAAAAGGTTTGCTAGGGTAGACCCTCTTTCACTCAGACTCAGCCCCCCCCCCGAAACAAACTCAGCCCCCCCCCCCCCGAATCGAAATCCTGGCTACGGGCCTGGAACCAAGGTATTCAAAGTGGAGTAATAATGCTATAATTGTGTCATGTAAGGAAGCCTATTGTTCCATTCTGAAGAATCCTGAGATTGGAAAGGTAGAGAGGGATAATTAGAATGATCAGCAAGACAACTCTAGCACTAAATTACAAACTCCAGAATTCCCCAGAATGCAACTATGGCTGTTAAAGTGATATATTTGTGTAGTGCAAAAGGGCTTCCTGTTAATAGGGCTGACCAGCACTGAATGCTGAAGATTTGACACAATTCCTTCCAATTGATTAATAGCAGGAAAAAAAAACCTATGAACCCATTTTCTACACTGTGTATACAATGTTTTTGTGCTTTCTTGACAATGAAAATACTTTGCCTGTATCTTTTTTCTGTTTTTAGGCATTGAAGGGGCTGTGTTTGAGAACTCTGTGGAGACTCCTCACATCAGAGCAGAACCTTCACAAGACCTCAGGTAGGCTTCTTAATTTACTTTTTTCCTGAACATGAATACGTAGAGCATGCTTTAATGTATAAGTGACTTCCATACTGTTCTTTGATACATTTGAAGCATACTACATTTCTCAAGAATAAATCCAACGTTCATGTATAGCCTACAAATAAGAAACCCACTAACCGAAAGGTAGCTGTTCTAATTTGCCAACTTGGTTTGGAAATAGATTTAAAGTTGGTTTCCAGTGTAGTCCTCACGTCAAAAGATGAATTCTTGTTCTTATTATGAGCTATTTCGAGATGTGCAGACTGAAAATGTCAGTAGAAGGTTAGGCATGCTGAGGATTGTCCTTGAAAACTGAACTTGCCTTTTCCTTTATTTATTTTATGTTTGTAAGCCATAGGTATTGTTAATTTTTGTGTATAAGAATCTTTATTTTGAAAGGTTTTCTTTTTGAGTCCACAAACTAAAAGTATTCACTTCTAACTTCAGGGAAACAATAATGCATGCCATCGGGACCACTGCTGAGTTGTGGCATTTGCATGCTCTCTTAAATATCCCAAGACAAGAAGCTAAAATATCAAATTCTAAAACCTGCAGTGAGCTTGTAAGTCCTACTGGGATATTTTTAAAATTAAAATGGCTTCCTGACTGGAGCCTTTGATAAAGTTTAGATGTCACTGTGCTGCTGGCTTCTAATCAATATTTTTCTGTAAATGGCAAAGAGATTAAATGTAAGTCTAAAACAATTCGCTGCATTTCTGTCTAAGGTTCTGTTTCTTGGGTCAATCCCATCTCTGCTCATGACATGAGGTTATGATAAGAATGCTTTTAGATTGCATCTCCCCCTCCATCTTTTTAAAAAGCAATGTGGGGGTATTAAATTCAAGAACGTCAACAAAGCCATCAAGCTCATAATGCTCATCATTATAAGATGAGCATTATAAGATGAGTACTACTTGACAGCTCCCTCATATCTATATTTCCACTGCCTTGTAAATTCTTATTTACACCTTACCTTGAAAGCTGCAGAATTTACATAAGGCAATACATAAGGACCAATCGTTTGGGTTCAAGATTGGGATTTGGATTCGTGGTCAGACATGGAAACCTATGGGCGACCTCAGGCAAGTCGCACTCTCAGATTCAGAGGATCCTTGCCATTACCCTTAGATTAAGCCAGTGGCAATCATCCTCTGAATAAAATTTGCCAAGAAAATCTTACTCAGAGTCACCATTACTCAGAGGGCACTTCCAGATAGCCCTTTATCCTGGAAACATTCCCGTTTTAAAAACGTGAAATTTCCCAGGTCCACATCCACACACACCCCATCCACACTGATGGGTGTCCAGATGTTTCCCCAGAACTTTTTGGGAGACATTCTAACCCCTTCCCCAAAAGCCCTTTAAAAATAAAAGAACTTATTCAGCCTCCATTCATGTGGTGCCAGAGCTCTCCTGTTGCATAGGAATGATGCACTAGGAGAATGGGGGGAGGAAAACCGCTTCTGCCCCCCTTTCTCCTGGTGCATCATTCCTACGTGGTGCCGGAGGTATCCTGACGTGTAGGAATGATACACCAGGAGAAAGGGGGGCAGGAGTGATTTTCCTCACACCCCCCCCCCCCCCCCGCTTTTTCCTGGTGCGTCTTTCCTATGCGCCAGTAGAGGTCCGGCACCACACAAATGGAGACTGGGTAAATTCTTTTATTTTTAAAAGGCTTTTTGGGGCGGGGTTGTGTTCTCATGGTTTTTCAGGCTCATTTAGCCCAGAAAACAACGGTACTACTGTCTGGACTGCCCCCTCAAAAGCCCTGATCTTTTGAGGGAGCAGTACAGGCAGTGGAAGTAGTGGGTTCATCCCGCACCTTCCAAGTAGGCGCAGAATAAATCCACAAACAAATTAATTTCTGGTTTGTGGTGAATTAATTTGTATTTCTCAGGGACGTCATCTGGACAGCCCCTTTTTAATTGTGGGAACTCTCACGTTAAAGGGGCTGTCTGGATGAGCCCAGAGTCAACTTGAAAGCACATAACAACAGTAAAGCACAAATAAGAAATCTTTTTCGAGAATTTATGGATTATTTATCATCCCTTTTTGTTCATTTTAATCCTCCAAAGCAGGGGTCCTCAAACTTTTTAAACAGAGGGCCAGGTCACAGTCCCCCAAATTGTTGGAGGGCCAGATTATAATTTGAAAAAAACATGAATGAATTCATTTGCACACTGCACATATCTTATTTGTAGTGCAAAATCCACTTAAAAACAATACAATAATTAAAATGAAAACAATTTAACAAATGTAAACTTATTAGTATTTCAATGGGAAGTGTGGGCCTACTTTTGACTGATGGGCTAGGATTGTTGTTGTTATTGTTTTGTGCTTTCAAGTCATTTCAGACTTAGGTTGACCCTGAGCGAGGGCCGGGTAAATGACCTTGGAGGGCCGCATTTGGCCTTAGTTTGAGGACCCCTGCTCCAAAGGTTATGGCATTATCTTGTAACTTATAGTAATGTAAGTATACTTTAGTATTATATATATATTATATTATATATATATATATATATATATATATATATATATATATATAAGAGTTAAACAGATTTGTCAATTTTATTGTGTATTTATTTATTATTTATTTATTTACTATATTTAAATCCTGCCCTTCTTGACCCCAAAGGGGACTCAAGGTGGCTCCAAAGGGACTCAAGACTACTCCATAGCAGGAAGACAACTTTTATAATTGTCATCTATAATGCTACACCTGATAATTGCAACTCTTATCTGATACACACTAAAATTCTAAGATTGCTCATGCTAATTTAATTCTATAAGGTTTATTTCAGAAACATACAACAATTGTGCATAGAGATATACGTTTTGTTTGGGTATGAGTAAATTATACTCCAAATAATTTGCCTTCTTTTTCCGTGTCTGGAATGATTATATAACCTCCCTCCTGAATCACTTTTCAGCCCTCCTGTTGGCCAAAATTGCAGCTTCAATGTGATAGCATTTTCTCAAGCGCGTCTTTGCTGGCAAGATATGTCTCACTCTTGTCCTTCTTGACAGTTGATAAACTCAATTATTTTATCTGTAAATGAGGAAAACCTCACCACAACAGTAATGTTACCATCACATCTTCAGCAGGGTGAAGACAGTGGCATAGAACATGGTGGCATTCCATCACATGCCAACACATTTTTTTTTCTGAGGATCGTATATTCCCCAGTGCAACATATGTTACAGTGTTACCACAGGACACAACATTTTTCTGATAGTTCCTTGAACAATCATTCTGTGGCTGAAAGAGAATAGTAGGGAATGGAGAAGGTATAACTAGATCTGGAGATTGGATTTGCCAGCCCTGCTCTATAATCTCCACAAGCACAGAATGGCCATTCCATTAAGTATGGAAACAAAAGTGTGAGTCCTGAAAGGTGTGTGTGGGATTTGGTAATTGTGAAGGATAGAAGAGCACACCAACCTCTCCAGCAACAAACAAAAAAAAACCATGTACAAGCTTATGCTTGTTTATGTCAATAACAGAATGCCACTTCCAGCTGACTCAATGTACCATTTTAATTTGAAGTTTTTCTCTAAGTCTGGAGGACTAGCAGTAACATAAAGAAACCTAATGCTACCTTTTGGATCATTTGACCAAGGAGAATATGGGAGCAGCATAGGGCAAATGCGCATAGAGCAGAGCAACCTTGGCCTGCTCATTCCCTGCTCAGTAAGTATCCTTATTAGCCATGACTTCATAAAATATAGCATCTGACTCAGCTCACTGCTATGCTCCCAGACTAGGTAAAAGGCTCTCCATTAAAATGGTGTATGGCTAAGCCAACCGGGGCAGCATCTTTGCTGCAGCGCTTCACTGTGTAACGCATATTGACAGCTACCTTTGTCAGCCAGCCAGAGAGATAGGGAATGAGAACAGTATTGCCCCAAATTTTTAAAGAGGAGCAGGATGCAGGCAGAGATGGGTGTAGTTGACTTCCACCCAAAATGTCTACAATAAAGTAACTAGAGGATTGCTAAAAGAGCTTTGGAAGAGAAACTACCTTTGTTGTGGTGCTCTCATAATGTCTCTCTTTCACTGAACCTGACTGCCATTAGCAAACCATTCACAACTAAAGAATCATAACTTCATTGAACTAAACGGGGTGTTAATTGCTTAATTTACAGATTTCTATTGTTGTTTTTATCACAAACAGCAATTACACTGAGTAGGGTCTAAAGTCTCAAACCGTTGGTTGCAACATTGGTGAAATGATGTGGCCAGGCACACAATAAGAGGCAATATCTTCCATAAACAATAAAGGTTATGTTGGTTGCTTATGGGATCATATGCCCTCAATCATTTTATTAATAAGGGGGGTAAATTGCTTTGTTGTTGTCCTATACCTCTGGGGAAAACTCGAAGATCAAATTTAATAGCTTTCTTTCTCAGTGATTATGAAGGCTACAGTCCCGCTGACTATAAGCTAATCCTGAAAGCCAACACTGGGTATAATGAGATGGAAAATTGATCAGGCAGCAAGACACTGCCAAAGATGGTTGGATCCCCTTTTAACTTTGATCTGCATTGAAGATACACAAATCTTGCACAGTAGCTTTGTGCTTCCTACAAAGCATATAGCTGCATGTCATCACTAAGAGCCTTTCCCTGAAAAGACAGATGGAAAAAAGAAAGGGCACTAACGTGGCAGGATGCCTTTTTATTAAAAGCTTGAAGCAGAAAGTGGCCCAATGTGATTTCTATTACTATTAAAAGTTTCAAAACCTGACATAAAGCTGATAGATTTGAAGCAATTGGTGGTGGTGTGGAGGAACAGTAAAAATTTAGAAAGCAGCCTGCCATGTAAAATGTACAACATGTGTTTTGTTGTGTCTGTGCTTTTGTATGTTAATATAAATGATGGGACTTACAAGAATTTTCCCGTTTACTCAACAACAGTAACGCCAAAATACAAATTATTTGTGAGCTGTGATTGGTAGGTTGGTAGGTGAGTGAA